CGGCATCGGCATCGGCATCGGCATCGGCGACGACAGACGCAGGTGATGGCAATATGTACAGACACATCTGTGTCTGTACATAAAAATAGTTCTGGCAAAACTAGTATGAAATAATAAGCATCAATTACTTGTTACGAAATACTTTAAAATGAAGATTTGACAGATAAAAAATAAACAACCACACATTTTCATTACAGCACAGATATTTGTAGGTACTTCCAGTATGCAGACATGTTTCTATGAGGCAGTGCCATGACACTACCTGTTAAAATTACCTTGCACAAATAATGTCATGGACCTCTGATCACTCCCTGCAATGTTATTGGCCGAACAAGAATAGCTGCTGGTGTCTTTGGGATCTGCACTGAAGATTTCCAAGTTGCCAGACTCGCTGATGAAATAGTGGGAATCTGTGACAGGAATTTTTACACCATTTTTAAACCACTCCAAAGATGGAGGTGGGTCTCCCTGCACTTCGCAATGCAACACTATGCGGTTCCCTTGCACCACCACATACTCATTGCCATAACTCTTGTCTATGACTGGGGGAACTGGAAAAAAGTTAAACTGTATTGGTCAAAGTTTGAAATAAAAAAAGGCAAAAAAATGCATCTGTAAATTGATAATTCAGACTATTTTGAAATTTTTCAAAACAACAACTTTTATAAATGCATACTGAATATATCAAGAAGTATGCATTTATGAAAGAAATGAAGAAATGTCACGTGACTAACCTCCTGATTCTTTAAAACATTTACACAAAAAGACTATTTTACATATCTAGTAACTAAACATCATATTTCTATATCTATCTTTACCTTGCACATCCAACTGTGTTATGTAAGTTGAGTTTCCACCCACGTTGCTTGCATGACACTTAAAATCTCCTTCGTCCACCGCTCTCACACTTTCAATATGGAGGCTCCCCTCACTGTCAATCCTGAAGCCATTTCCTTCTTCAATCACCTGGTCACCTTTCAGCCAACTTATCTTAGGTTTGGGGTTACCAAGGAGAATAAAACAGGTAAGCCGTACTGGACGTCCTTCAATGATCTGAACAAGGGGATTGGTGAAAGCAATCAGGGGACGTACTGAAATTTGAAAAAAATGTTTTTGTTATATATATATATATATATATATATATATATATATATATAAATGAAAGTGTGTGTCAAATACAATTGCATTCCTGGTATCTTAAAAGGCTTCAGAAAGATGACATACTGGTACGTATTGCAGCATTATAGCAATACTTAAAGTTAACAAGTTATACATCATCATGCAACAATTATGGAATGAAGGAAAAGCCTACCAATGCCAGAGACTGTGACATATGCTGACACTTCCTGAACTCCAAACTGGTTCTGTGCACTACAGACATATGCTCCCTCATCTGATGCCTGGATGTCTGCGAAAAAATAGGGAATGTGTTTGAAATTTAATAAATAAAACATTCAGATATTTCTAATGTACTCTTTACATGAAAAAGTGAATATGTTTCAGCAATTGCAAGTTACACACAGTAGAAATCTCTGAATCTCTTTTTAAAAGAAGTGTATAAACTACATGTGCTATGAAAACCCACCAAGTATAAAGTACAAAACCTCAAACTGGCAAAAACAAGTTCTTGTCAAACTGTATGTCAAACTGCAGCAGGAGAAAACTTACTCTGTATGAAAAGTGAACCAGATGGCATCTGTCTAAATCTTCCATTCCAGTCAATAGGAAGACCATCCTCTCTCCTCCACAGTATTTTGGGGGGTGGGTACCCAGTGGCCTTACATGGGAGGGTACCGTTGGTCTCAATGTCTATACCAACACTGCTTGGGGCACGAGTGATCTTTGGCTGGGCTGTAAGTAAAATATGTGATTTTCATCTCTACCTAAGAACATAATGTCAAACAATAACCCCCCTATTTTCTGTTAATGGAAAATATCTAAAACAAGCATACCTGCAACAAAAAATGTAGTATTCTCACGTCAACATTACTAAGCATCAATCCATAATATAGAAAAAGACATGTCCAACCTAGACACTGATGTATGTACATCCCAGTGAGACCTACTAACATCCCAGTGTGACCTATTAGCATCCCAGTGTGACCTACTTACATCCCACTTCCAGTGTGACCAGTCCTCTTGCTGTCCCGGCCTCATTGGTGGCCACACAGGTGTACTCCCCGGCATCATATTCCTGCACCCCAAGCAACATCAAGTCTCCACTGTCCATGATCTCAACAAAGGCAAACTCATGGAACTGAAACAGGTTGTAAAATAGACATATAAAAAGATAGACTGGCACCAAAGAGAAAATTACTCAGTGCACACCAGGGAGTAAGTAATACAACGACAAGTAAGTATACAAAAGAGAGTGATAAAAGTTTCAGTTTCACATTCTTCTAAAACATTTAAACCAAAAATGTTGAACTCTTCATATCAGGATAAGTTGGCAGTTGTCCACTTTAACAGAGTTATTAAGCTCTGGCCAAAGTTTTAAGTTTCTCTCTAAATATTAAACAGGCTCAGTATTTCATCAAATTGGAATAACTTTTGAATAGCAGACTTAAATTTTGTTAAAAAGTTTGGACCAAGTTTCAGTCTAAAATTCTCAGGAAACTGGCCACAGGTGTGGTGCTCACCTGTATGCCTTCCTTGAACCAGGTAATATTAGGTTTGGGAATACCATGGACATCACAGGACAACTTGGCGGACTCCTTGATGGACACAAGCACCACTGGACTGGGCACCTGGACAATTGGTGCCTCTGGAAATAGATGGAATTACAAATAAAACTAGTGAATTATTAAAAAAGTATTATTATTTTAATAGTAACAGTGTTGTCATATAAAATAAGCACCCACAAATGCAATCAAATTTATCATAATATCAAAGATATTTTTTATAAATGGCACAAATTGTTTTTCATATTATAATAAACTTAATGCTCTGTAATTTCTATGTAAATTAACTATCAAATAGGTGCCACTAACCAATATATCTCAGTGTAGCCACAGCAGTATCTGAGCCTGCAGGATTTGATGCCAAGCATTCGTAAGCTCCTTCGTCATAAGGCTGCAGGTGCTTCAGTGACAAAATGCCTGTTGATCGGTCATAATTGACCTTCTCTGAGAGGGGAAGAACCTCCTGCTTCCTCCGCCATATATAGGACGCTGGAGAACCTTCCGAGGTACACTGGATACTGACGGCCTGGCCGGTTTTAAAGGGTTGTGATTCTGGGCGTACTCTTGCCACTGGTGCCACTAGACAAATAAATAAATATTACCTTTAGAATTTCTGTGGTAACAACAATACATCTCTCAAATTCTCATCTTGAATTTTTAAGCTTATCTTATTTGTATTTTTGAACTGTATGCTTTATATAGTTTTCGATACCTCTAATATTTTAAAAAAGGTACAAATTAAGAATCAAATCTGTGATTGGGAAAACTGTATTTCAGTGAATCATGTCTATTAAACAAAATACTTTACATTATACATGTGGCTGACCCTTACCTTGCACAATGAGATAAATCTTTTCTTCAGAATTTCCTCCTTCATTTGCTGCTCGGCATATGTAAGGACCTTCGTCAGATTTTCTGACATTTCTGTAAAATTCACATCATCAGGGGCTGACTTAGGTATTGTTAAAATTATTTTATTACAAATGACAATAACAATAATGGCCATCAAACCAGGCAATTAAGATACTGCCATAAATCATAAATCATATTTAAGAATATCTAACTGCAATCTTACTTGAAAACCACTCTGACTGATGTCTAGTGAATATGGTATTTTTTACATAATGAAAATTGTAAAAAAAAAAAAAAAAAAAAAAACGAAGAATTTGTCACAGCCTATGTCAGATCAATTTGTAACACTGACTGCTTTTCCTCCTATAAACAAACATTCTCAGCTACAGTTCATGTTTAATCAGCAGGGATCCACTCTTATGAATTATTTACTTGTCTGATTCTGGACCACCAACTTACTTTCTGGCAGTATTCGTTAAAATTGTTTTTATTTCAAAAGAATGTACAATCTTATTTCTTAAGGACTTCTATAATCTAAAATCACTTTTGTATTTTTTACCATGAAGTGCTCTGTATCATGTCTAAAAGACCCCATTTTTCCAAAACTTTCAGGCAATATTTGCCAAATGAATTAAAAAATTTATTGCAATTTGAACACTTTCTAAAACAAATCTACTGTGTGATCTATTATTGGCATTAAATTGATCACAAAGTGTTTTCTAATCAAATACTTTTACTAAATCACAAACATCAATTTTCAAACACCAAAACCATTCAAGCATGACAAACTTGTTTGTGTAATCATCAGCTTCACAGAATTTACAAGGTTACTGACTGTGTGATACCAGGTCAAACGAAACAATTTTTTTTTCTAAACCAACAAACATAACATGTTGCCATCCTTACAGAATCTGCAGGGAACCGTTCCTATGAATGATGTACTTGTCAGGGTCCTGGGTCACCAAGTTCTCTCTGGCAGTGTTGTACCAGGTCATGTTGAATTCCACTGTGCTGGAGGCCTCGCAGGTCAAAATGGCGTTGCGACCTGGGATGGTCGTTACATTGCTGGGGGCCGTCACATACGGTGGAGGGTCTATGAAAAACAAGAAGCATAATGAATTAGTACTGGTTTTTATGCAGTTTCAAAGGTCTGAAGACAGAATTAGTTACAAAAGTTGATATGATATACAAAACATCAGAACAGAACAGAACTTCTTTGTACGTGAATCAAACAAAGTCTATAATAATAATAATAATAATAATAATTAGTGCACAATGTATAAACAACTAAAAAGTCATTATAATAATTATAAATATATAATAAAAAGAACAGACAAAGAATACTGTACATGAAATTGATAAGACCCTTTGCATTTTATCTGTATAAAACTATTTTCTTCACTTCACTAATTTCATCTCATACCTGTCACATCAAAGTAAGTCTCTGCGGCCCCAGAGCCAGCAATGCTGGTGGCGTTACACCTGTACACACCCTCAGAGAAAGCACTGGCATCTTTGACAGACCACGTGGCATTGGCAGTCTCACTGAAAGTACACACAATTCCAGTGGGTGATAACCATATCATTTCATTCAGATTATTATAAAACTTAATTGGGAAAAAAAAACACTAGTGTTCTTTTCATACTATATGGAATTTGCAGTTTTACTAAAACTACACACAGTTCTAGTGGGTGATAATCATATTTTTGAGACACATTTCCAGGATCTGATATCCATTTTTATGTGTTTATGTTTTTTTGGACATTCCATGGGTCATATAGTCTCTAAAAAAACATATTATTTTATCATTCATCCATAAAAGTACCTGAATACAAGTCAAAATTGACCTACTTTTATTATGTACAGCTATAATATATACTTGTAGCAGTCCACTCTCAGTTCATAATAAAAACTATTATGATTGGAAGCACCCTTGTTACCTAAAGTACAACGACGTTCCAAGTATGGTGTCTTCCCAGTAGAACTGCACATAGAATGGCACCTCACTGGTTACATAGCATGTAATTGGTGATATCCTTTTATAATGACCTCTAGTAATCTCTGGCATGTAGACTATGGGTGCCACTGGGATAGATGGACTGATGGCGGTAGGAGTCAAACGCTGGAGTCCAAAACCTTTGGAGTCGACACCTTTTACCTGTAAGATGTATTGGAAAAGTTTGGTAGTCAAGGAAATGGAGGTGGTTTTTGAAGAATTTTACCTTCACAAAATTAACCATTGATAACAATGTAAATCATTTTTTATTATTATTTTCCTATTTTTATATCTATATATATTTCTTGCAAATCTACTAATATCTTTTCCAATTCAGGCCTTAAAACAGTGAACCCCCTCAAGTTTAAGTACCAGTCCTTCTGAAAAATCAAAAACAACTGTGGCCATCTTTACAAATTATGATGTGTTTGGAACTAAGTTAATTGATAAGAAATGGTAAAAAAATCCAAGCACTTGTAAAATCACCAAGACTAGTTTCATTATAAAAAAGTCTGATTTAAACCAAGACCTAAGAACCATGCCCTTACCCGTAAGTAGAAGAAGTTTGCAGGAGGAACAAAGGCGCTGACATTGTACAGCCATTCTCTTTCAGGATGCTGGTGAACAGGGTATTTTGCCAATGTTTCACCATGGAGATCAAGTAACTCCAACTGTGTAAACCGTCCTGGAGTTTCCATGCCAGTTGCGTTGAGCAAAAGATATGTTGGAATGCCTGTAATAGGAAAGATCATTTCTCATATTATTTTGTTTTTTTTTTGTGTTTTATAAAAAGAGTCATCAAAATCTAAAGGTGTTACCCAAAGGTTTTACTCTAATGCTTCATCCTTCATATTGTCATATTGTTAACATTTAAAACAATCCAAACAAAACCTTACTTTGCAGATCAGAGAGGTGGGAAACACAACTTTTGTAAATTAATTGTAAAAGACAAAATAACTTGAAATAAAAATTCTGGTTATTCAAAGTAAAAAAAAAACCCAAACATTAGAACAGACACACCCCTAGGCTATTAAATAAAAAACAAACTACATTACCACTGACAGGTCTTTGTCTTGTCTCGACAAGGTCATCGGTGGGTTTCTTGGAAAATCCATGGATGAAATCTGTAGAACTGAGGCCAGTGATTCTAGTGGTGTGTTTGCCCTTGGCAGACATCTTAACTCTCCACAAACCTGGCTCTGGATCTTTGATGTTGATGATGAGAACATTTTTGATGTTGAGCAATTCTTTGCGTCCATTTCTTCTTGTTACAATTTGACCTGTTAATATAATGATAAACAAATTATTTCCAAAATATATCATATACCACCATGATTATCAGAGATTTGTGGAAACCAACTAATGCAAACACTTCACCATTGCCAAACCTTGGTGGATTCCAGTGATTTCTGGCTCTCAGGATGTTCATAAGAGTTACAATACACATTTTAATTGTTAACTGCAGTAACGTAAAATCAGTTAATCCTTTTATGACATACAGATTTGAACCCCCCTTCCCGCTTGATGTCTTACCTGCAGGATTGATAATAGTGGCATCTGGGTTGTCTCCACTGATGGAGATAGTGAACTCCTGAAGCTCTGTGTCAATTGGGAGACTAATGTCCTGAGTATCTGAATTGGCACGATCAGAGGAGAATAAATTAACCTTTCGAGACTGGACTGCTACACGTACAAAATTCAGCACCTACAATGAATAATTGTGAAATTCTTTTTATAATTATAACATTAAAACAGAGCATTATCGTACTAATTCCAAAAACTTCAATAGAAAATTAAATTCAGTAACTTCTCATTCATAGCTTATTAATACATCAAAACTGACTATTACTGAAATACACAAGTCACCGGACATATACTAGATACCTATTTTTCTATTTCCCCATTTTTACTTCCTGTCTTACGCAATTATAATGAAACTTGGTAAACTTTTTACCAAAACTATGAAATGCTTTGAATAAAATACATAAATAGAAGCTAATTGCCATGTGTATTTGTCAAGCCACCTTTTCCCTCTTCCCTGCACATTTATGTCACACCCTGTATATGGAGCGAAGCTTCAATCTATGTATTCCGTTGTGATTGCCCTATTTTTGGGGCAAAACACTCTGTACTTTTATTAGGAAGTGTACATAATAATGCCTCCAACTGTTCCATCGTTACAGCCTGTCATCTTGCATAAAAAGTTGCTTCACTAACAACCAACGCTGTACGAACCATTGTCATTAACAAGCTAGAAACCTGTTCCTCATAAAATGTTTTTATGGAACATAACAGTATTTTGGAGGTTACAGTGTGATAGCTTTTCATGCCATTTTACCGCAACCCTTGTTTCCTTGTCAGCGTAAATTCCACTTTCTAGTACTCTATCACCATTACAACTGAAATCGTACACCGATCTTCATAGGGGGGACTATTAGTGGTTGTTGAATAATTTCCCTTCATTTTTTAAGCCGTGTGTTTTAACACTATAACTATAGTGGTTCACTATGTCTTGGGACTGAAATCTAGATTTTTTTGAGGGGTTTCTTTGATAATTCCATGTTGTGTGTAACATAACTCATTCTGTCTGGTGCCGTGAATTGACCTTTTTATGTGTGTGGTTCTCTAAATAATCAGGGTTGCCCACAGACTTTTGAAAATTGCACACACAACTTCCGACCAAAGATACACAAATTGAAAATGATTACAAAAAGTACTATGAAACCATTAGTATCTTCAGAACTTGATGCAAAATTGAAGCCCAACAAAGACGGAATGTTAACTCTGTTGATGCAGAGATACAAGTGTCTACCAACAGGCTTGGAAGGATGTGCTAATCATATGCTTATTATTTCATTATGGTTATTTCTCATCAACTCACATGCAGGCAAAGAAAAAACATTTGAGAAACTTGTTTAAAAAAAGTCAAACACTATTAGTTTTTGATTCAAATTTCAGCCTCTTGGTATTACTTGAACAACTATTCCGTGTTGAATAATTCCATAGTAACTCTACAGTTGTAAAAATTTTCTATGCAGTCAGTACTTAATGAATAATGAAAATTTCATCTCATCTTCTTGTTTAAATTGGGGTGGAAGAGCCCAAAAATAATAAGGACGAAAAGATCATGTTTAAGATGAGAAAATACAATAGAATGGCCATCTTTGAAAAAAAATAAATGAAGATACTTATTTTATCATCTGTGCAGTTAATATAGGTTTTCTTCATTACATTTGTCATGTGTGGTGGCAAGTGAACTCCCAAATATATCTAGGGTACATTGGCTAGGGACAAACCATTTCCTTTTTTAGCAGTTAGCATTCCTGGCCAGGAAACTGTCCTCAGGCAGAACAAAGCAGTTCTGTTTCACTATGTTGCTATCTAATCTTTTAATGGCTGTTTGGTGGAGTTGAATAACCATACCAACTATGTACATTTATGTGGCATGGAAAAAATAAGGCATGTACAAAGATGAAAAGAAACCTTTTCTTTTCACACTGTAATAGTTACATGTATTAGTGAAAGTTACAGAAGATTTTAAACAAGATTTGCAAACTTTGCCAATATTCTCACCATTAATTTCTTTCCTCCATCTGAACTTTATACATAACCCTTATTTTCACAGGTGCTCTAAATTTTGCACTTTGTCTGGGTTCACAATGGCTCAGTGAACAGGCTGATTATAACAAATTCAGTTTATCGAATCATCAGATTAATACACCTTTATTGAGAATGTAGCTGTTTAATGTCTAAGGAAAAACATCTGGAAGTTGCAAAAATACTCAAATTAAATCACATTTTCAATTGATATTTGAAAGACTTGAAGACAAGTCTAAGTCAACATTCATGCATAAAAAGGAGTGCAAGCTGATTTTTCAAACAGTGTGACATTCATATTTTACAAAAATAAAATAATACATATTGTAATAAACATATATTATACACCTTGTTGGTGAAGCTGCATCAATACCAGTCTATTTAAGTTTCCGTATGCCATTTTACTAATTAAGTGTTAACAGAGCAATCAACAGAGGTAGAATGAGTTTATTGTAAATTACACTTTTTGTAAAATGAAACTCATCATAGAAAGCTATAAAAAATTGTTGAAAGGGAGTTAATAAAATAATGCTTTTTATCAGCTTGAGCAAATTATCTTTAGCTGTTGATAAACATTTCACGTAACTGATCAGAGCCTTGAGTAGTGTTGCTGCAGATACAGCTTGTTCCAATAAGTTGCCATGACCTGGGCTATGGTTACTTAACCCAGTTTTCTCAAATGTAAAACACAAATGACTTCTACCACCCTGCTGGCATTGGCTGGAAAAGCAAAGGCATTCTACCAACTGCTGTATGTTGTATAACAACACACCATTCAGCACTATGAGGTCACTGCAGACTTGCCAATGGTTGCTCATTAATTTATTTTCATCTCAACTGGTGGTTTTATTGTCTACCAATTTTGCAATTTGAAATTTAAAGACCCATTACCATCAGTTTTTAGAAATGCAATTTATATGAACATCAGATATTTTGAATATGTTAAAATATTCAATTTGATACTCGTATTACACTTAATGGTCTCTGACGTTACTTTCATAATTCCTTCCGACAATAAAGAAAAAGCTATGATCTCTCTATTGGAATGTCAATGGCTCTTGAGTGCATTCCCTTCATCCACCATACTATACACTATGGGCATTGTCAAACTTTGGGTCACTATAACCAGGTCTGACAAACCAGACAGGGGGTGTCAATGGTAACAGGGGGGACACCTAACCACATCTGACTCTACATGACCACTGGCCACAACCTACAGATCAATATCCAATTAAAAAGATGACCTCCTGCTCTGGTGCTTTTTGCCATTTCCGTTGGGAGACCACTGTCTGAAGCTATGCCTCAGTGGCCAACCACTGGTTTTATGGAGAAGTTGGGACAGACATACTAATAAAGCAGTCTTTATTTGTGTGATATGACCTTATGCTGCCACTCTGATGGTAAACAAAAAGTTTTGGTAAGACATATTTCAATTGCAGTCAATCTTAGTCAAAAAAGGTTGGTGCCTGTTTCATAACAGAGTTTTAGCATTCAAATCAAATAACACACCTGCTTTGTAGCCAGAGAGAAATAGTTTTAAAACAATAGTTACTTAATTTCAGTGGATTACTTTAGATTTATACTGAATAGAAGTAGGCTAAAAACCTTAGTCTAAAAGTTAAGGCAAAAACTTAGTAAAAGTTTTTTTGATGAAACCAGCTGAGCCCTTGTTATTGTGTAGGACATGTTGTCTGTCATCGCATTTTACTTAGAAAGAAATAGATATGGCAACTCCTTTTTACTGTTCTTGGCAAAAGACCAAAATAGAGATGAAAACTATGAAACTATTGTCAACTGGAAAAAATTCACCCCATTCAGTTCTGACATATTTCGGTTTGGTTCAGATTTTTTTTATAAAAAATACATTATGACCTTTTATTTTAGACTATCACACACACAAAATAAAATAAAATAAAATAAAATAACACAAGATACATGGGGTGTTTTTTTTCTATTTTGACATTATGTAGCTTATCCCATTTGAGATATTGTCGAATGTCTTATTTTTTTTAACTCTTGATAGTTGAACCTCCAGAGGATACATTGCACTCACATGCCAAATCATCCAATTTCCATGAAAAATGCCTTATTTTTTACCTCTTCCTCATTCAGACAAGCCCTCCAAGAGATTTCAAATCTCTCCTTTCCACATTGTTGAGGGTGGTCTTTTTGGACATAAAGCATAAACTAATTTTTTCCTTGTGGAATCTCTGCTCTTGATCTTTGCCATTTCAAATGAACCATACCAAATTCCTGTCCTATAAAGTACAATACATTCTGAAAAACAGCCAAATCACCTGATCCCCTAGCCTGTATGTTTAGAGTGTGGGTGAAAGTCTTCAGCTTGCTTCTCTTATTGATGGTAGACTCCACATTTTAGGAACAGGATAAACAATCGGCAAATATTTGATGAATCTTCAAAGAACAGGCCACAATTGGGACCAAAAATACTTGAACATTTCAAAGCTGACAGAAGGAAACTTATGTTATTTGAAATTTCTATTCACCCGTACAAACCATGGCAAAATCTGAATTCATAGGTTTTCTCAAACATAAATGGACTCACATTGCTTTTCTTTCAAAGCTTTGCCACCATATCAACACTTGGCAATGGCCTCACATTCTTTAAGATTACGTTATCCTTATTGGTTTATCACATAAATACTAACATAAAAAGTATCAGAATGACATCCTCTGGCACCAAAAGTTCCCAACTTTTTCCCTTCACCACAACTGATTTCATTTCACTGATCATTTGATCATAAGTGCCATGAGAGATTACCCAAATGATGACTTACCTGATTGACTTCAGACTTTTTGAGCAAGAACACCTGCCCTGAACTGGTAGAGGCAATCTGCTCGTAGGCTTGGTATCCAGGGTGGGAGGTATTGCCACAGTCTCCTGTCATCACAAACACCACCTGGGACATAAATAAAAGTAGGAATTTTATCACATTTCAATATGAATTGTTTCTCAATGAATCGTTCTGTATTGTTGTTCTTGGTTGTTCTGTATTAGCTGAAAAATGAAGTTGAAGTCAATGGCATCTTTTATTGAGGAAATTTTAACCTGGAGCATAGCATTTATTGTCTTTAATTATTTTTTACCCTGTGTTTTCTTTAATATGTAATGGACACTATCTGGAATGTCAAATATTATCATTACCACATCCTGATGTTATAGCGGTAAAGGTTTTTATGTAATTTATACGTACATCTTCTAAAAGTTTGACATCCAGTGTTTCCAACTATACTACAGTCACTGCGAACACAACAAAAAAGACATAAGAGAGTGCTAAACACTGGAGTGCAATAATGGGAAACCAGCTGCAAAATGTTTTTTGTTTGACATAAATAGGTATTTCCTCAGGCAAAAAGAATCGAAGCAAAGTAAAGACTTAGTTTGATGTCAGCAAGAAAAATTCTAGTATATGAAAAAAATTATTATTTGAACTACATAGAGCCTGACAGAACTAGACAAGAAATGGAATTGGAGAGTTCCTCAAGTAATATTGTTTGATACTAGTTGCAAACTGGCAAAGCCACACAAGTTACAGAGTGCATCTGGTTCTAAATCAATGACAATTTTTACAACCCCATTAAAATAAACAGTTCTTGACACATGAATGCTCTATCTTGTAAGCTCTTGTGCAGAGGTCTCGCAAACAAATTGTACTTTGTGTCAACGTACATGGAGCACATGGAAAACTCGTTGCATAACTCTCAATTTTTACAACTGGTTAGCAATGCTTCTTGACATACAATGACTTGTTTGTTTAGAACCCCATTGAGCTGCTCGGCAACAAGGGTTAGAATGTCCACAACATTCCAAACTGAAGTCAACTTTTGAGTTTTTTTTTTAAAATAATTTCAGATCCATGCCAATAGAAGAGGGCTCTTCAGCAATACAAGTACAGAACACAAACCCAGATGTTTTCATTTCATAAAACCTAAAATATATCCTTTATTTACGTTCTCTTGCTGGAACCCAGCCCAATACCATACCAAAACACATTCCCCAATTTTCTCTTCCAAGCTTCATTCTGACAAAACTTTCTAAGATGTTACTCAATCAAAAACATATTTGTCAGCACAGGTGACATCCATACCCCTTCCCCAAACAATAACAACAACAAAGACATTGTTAACCCACACAAACAAAAACATTCCACAAATAATGCAGAAAAAACCATACAGGCTATCTATTATGGATACCAGTCTGCTACTGTTCACTTCAAATACTTGTTTTGCCCTCGGATCACTGACATTGTTGACAAAAGCTGTTCACACTTACCCTAGATATACAATCATGAAAGGCATCCAAAAAGCTCTCCTTCCAATTGTTGTATATTCTGGGGTTTTCTCATGTGTTATTTGGTGGGTTATTGGGGCCAGAACACTCCCAAAGGGAGTCCTGTTGAGTTCTGTCCAGATAGGTGGTGTGACCAAAAAACAATTTGAGAACCAGAAAGCCTAATTAATTCCTGGTGATACTTAAATAAATGTTCATTTTCAAAAAAAAAAAACATAATAATTTTTGTTTGATAACTGCTTTTTACAGATACTCTGCTGACTTGATCATACTTGAGTGTCTCTAAGTTCTTTCAGTATTATTTTTTAAGATTCAACTCAGTTTACCTCATGACTAGACTGTCTGAGCCACAGATGGATCTCTGTCTGTATTCACACCTTCCTCACACAGAGGGGCCAGCTATTTATTTCTAGTCTACCATGTATTTTGCATAAAAGCAGACAATTGGGGAGGAGGTGGCAGTGGGAACACCTAAATTTTGAGCCCTTCCACCTTTTTGCAACATCTCTTTCAACAACTGCATGTACCTGAAACTTTATTGGAATAATTTGTTTCAATATTTCCTTTCTTTGCATCATCCTTGACAACATCTTTATAACTACTTTTAGCCCCTAAAACCATTACTTCCTTTTGATATGTCAAGCAAGGCGGTAAAGGGGACCACAACAAAGCTAATCATGCAGTTTCATAATCAGCCGGGTGCTGACAGGATATGGTTCTGTCGAAATGGTTTCTGGAACTTGAAAGGTCAAATCTGTCAACAAATCATAGTTTAATTTCATCAACACCTGGGGTATTTCACACCAATAGCTGTGAACCATAGATGACTTGGGATACATTACATCACATCCCTTCTACTGCCACTTTGCTGAAGGCATGTGCAATGCAAGTGTTTATTGAAATAGCTACATCTTCTGATGGAGTCACAAATACTTGCTAAAATTAGCTGGCATGGGTGACAGGAATTAATTTTCTAAAATGGAAGATTGCTGTGTTTAAATGTGGTTGATAAATTTGAGCAAATATAGCAACGAAGCACCATCTCCATGCCTAAAAAGAAACTGTGATCAAATTCTAAATATAGTTCTAAACCCTATTTTCCTGCTTTCTAAGAAGGATTGTCTTACTTCACTTTTGAATAAGCACATACAGTATTCATTGGCACCTTTTTTTTTGGAAAAAGTAAGTCAAATTAGTATATCCATGTACAGTTTGGAACAAGAAAAATCTGCTCAAGTTTGCACTCACTGAATTTCAGAGTCTAATTAAAACCAACCTCTGTCACCAGCTGTTTTCATGCCCCTGACAGTAGCAGAGAGCATGAGGCAAGTACCAAGCAGCATTCTGAACCTTAGAGAACACTGGCCCAGTACACTCTCACCATGCACCCTTCTGTACAACTCATCCCTTCCTGCCGAGGGAGACTGTATGTTTCTTAATTAATCGCAACAGCACTGGTGAGTTGAAAACAGCCATTAATGTGCAAAAAATGCCTAAGATAAATAGTCTAAGTTCTTGCAGCCCAGACACGTGGCCATTGGCTGATCACAGGGCAGGAGATAGGCACAGAGGTCAAATGGGTTCATTTAGGAAGCCACAGTCAAATCTGGCCTAACTTAAATTAAAAAGAGTCCAACCAACGTCACCAAATGCTCAGATCACATACTGCCCTATGCAAAGCATAAAAAATTGGTTAAGATTAAAGGGATAATAACTCTTCATTTTGGCCAAAAAATTAATTTTCCTGGAGTAAACAACAATTTTCCCATACTTACCAATGGTTAATGAATCCATTTTTACATTCAAAGTTAGTCCCTGGTTTTTTTCTAAAAAGTTTGCTTTTTTGTTATAATCTCTTAAGAGATTATAACAGAGTATGGCCATGAATGGCAGTCACGTGGTCTAAAGAAAAGCTCAGACATCAGAATAATAGCTATAACTTCAGTTTTTGTGGTACAACAGAATATATTATATTTCTATGAGCTGTTCACAGTGTTTTTATTGTGAAATATAGATCTCATACGAAGAGTTATTATCCCTTTAACCAATTAAAATTTTGTTCTGTTTTGTGATGACATCATGGGATAATTGTCCCTTTCATCCATCAGACACAAGTCTGAGTTTTAAAAAAATCTCTGTTCATTTATAGTAGGAGAAAACACTTTATTGGCTGGGGTCTGAGGCCACCTTAGGTCCCATAACAATTATCAGTAACAATTACTGATTCCACATAAAAATCTCAGGTCTGGGAGAGAGGGGGAGGGGGGTCTTGTTGACATCACTTGGACTATTGTGAGCTTAACTTGCCATGATTCTCTCTGTTTCTGGCCAAAGTGTTAATAAAGAACTAATCTTGACAATAAAACCAAAGGATATTGCTACTGTGGTAATCTATAAAAGATCTTACATGTTTGGAACAATTTGCCTACTTCTTTGCAAAACATCTGTTCATGAAGCAGCATGACATTCAAATGCAAACTTGACTTTACAATAGCTAGTGTCTTAAATATTTTATAAAATTAATTTTTCATCACACAGCGAAGAAACAAAAGACCTTTAACTTGTGTTTTATGTCAAAACTTACAAATTTTTAATAAAATACTTAGGCCAAAATCCATTTCATTACTGTTCAAATTGAACAATAACCCTTGCATAACAACCTGAGATTCAGAGGTTAATTTTAGCGAAAAAGGCAGGACCTAAGGAAGTGTTTCAACTCCCCCCCCCCCCACACACACACACACAAACATATTAGTTGTGTGTTGTTCCTCTTTCCAACATCTGGATATGGCCTGTTCAGTCTAGACAGCCAATACCATAGAAAGATGATGAAAACAGGGTAAAACGAAAATCAGAGTCTGTACTTTTATATGGCTACAGTAAGCCCCATTCACCCTGGTCACATTAATACCTGCCCCCACCCCCAGCATTCTATACAATTTGATAATGCAATTTATTTCAAAAAATATTTTTCATTATAGAAAAACACCACAGCCTTCACCTTTGTACATTAGTTTCATCAAGTACGCTTTTGTTTGGCAATTAATTTCCATTCAAAGCACTGTGACATGGGGATTCAAACAGCTGTTCCAGCTAGGTGACTAAATAATGGCTGTACAGGTGTCTGAGACAAGTTTAGAAGTTAACATTGTGGTTAAAGCTGTGGCCATTATAACCAGTTCCAGATCCCCTGCACTGCCAATTAGGAAACAGATTAACCTTACTTAAGGGGACGACAGCACCATTAAAACCTACAGAATGCAAACACTGATATTTACAGCTCTTGAGCAATAAGTGGAGAAAAATACCCCTTGAAAAATGGCTTGAAGATGGCTACAGGAAAGAAAAAGTGGACGTGTGTATCGAATTCCATGGTTTGTGCTACCAAAAGGATAACAAATTTGTGTAGATGCAGATGAGAATAAAGTGATCACCACCTCCATCAGCACATATTTGGTGGAAATTACAAGAAACTAGAATTGAAGTTCTTATTTGACACAAAAATATATTAATCACCATGCCTTTCCCACATGAATCTAATACTATGCCATTAAAAAAAATGTCACTTGTTTTTTAAGTAAACTCAAAGTTAAATCAGAGGTATGAAAAAGTTAGTACAGAAACAGAAGGTCCTAGAGCATTGGAAAGTTGCAGTTACTGTTGTCAAACAGGTCAACTATCTTTAGAACACACACATTTCTAAATCTTGCCTGAAACTCTAGTCTTACATACAAGATGACAGCACAATGTACAAGTCACTTACAGGTCTTCACGGATGACAAATGAGATGTGACCAATGGTTAAAGGTAATCGACATAACAAACAAGAAATGGAAGACCTCACCAATGGCTAGCTATTTGTAGATATCTCCGGTTACAGAGCCAAAGACTTTGAAAACAGAGAACCAATTACCAAACAAGTGAGGACAAACCCTCTTTCATGTTCTTTCCAAGCTGAAAAAAAGCTTGATGCAAATCTATACCCTTATTCAATCTTTGATGTCTTGATTGAGTCATTTTGTGGTTGTTTGATGTAAAATCCACACCACAGTCTTTAATTCATGGATTGGGTTATCAATAAATGATTTTCTGCTAACCAAATCAAAGCATTTTCATCAAGATTTATTGTATCCCACAAGATTTTTTTAAAGATGTAGAAAGTAAATAACAGGTGCAGCAACAACATGCAATTCAGCAAGATTTTTACTTTTGATAAATCTGTTTTGACATTCTTTCTTGTCAAAATAATCATGGTGCGATTTCCAAAAATAAAAATCCTAAAAAAACAAATAACATAAGATAACACAAAAATAAATGTCTTTCCCAAGACGAAGGCAAAAATGGAACTCACAATGCTGTTGTCGCAAATCTCAATGACAAAATGCTTTATTACAAACTCCTGTATTATTAAATATTTTCAAGATGCTTTGGAATAATTGCAAAATTTTAAGCTTTACACCTTACCTGGCTTTGTTTCTGCTGAATCAATGTCAGCACCTCACTTGTTTTTTCGTAGTCCTTGGAGCGTGCATCTGTGAAGACATAGATAAAAGAGTTCGGCAGGGAGACCTGCAGTGCCATCTGTATTGCAGTAATACTCATTTCTGGACAATCTCCACCTCCTTGCACATACAGGTCGCGCAATTCTCGTTGAAACTTCAGATCATCTCGTGTGTCCACCACTGGTCCAACATCTAGAAAATATACCAGAGTGTTTTCATATTATAAATATTTCAATCCATCCTAACTTAAGAGTCCAAAGGAAACATACTTCTTTATATTATATATATATATATATATATGTATGTATGTCATTTTATGAGAGCAGTTGCTGGATAGACGATTGTTACATGTTGTGCCATGCAGTCTCTGAAGTTAAGGGTGATCTAATCCAACCTTAATTCCAGTCTTTGCAGTATTTGTATTGTGTTCCTCTTTTTAAACCCTTTGACTAGGAGTTAAAAAAGCAACATATTTTGCCCTGTTTGATAATATTATTTCTTGTGGTAATAGGGAGTCACCAGGACAACCTTCAGTCAGGTCTTCAATTGCAAATCATAGTCAGAGAGGAAGAAATGATATAGATTATAGAGAAATGGGGTGGTTGTGATCAGAGTGCAGGTGCCATTTGTACAAAGTACTAGTAAGTTGAGAGTATAGGATCAGACCCTAGCAGGGTCAGGTACAACTGGATAAGTCTTAGTCATTTTTACAAAGACGGTTAGTGATAGACTGATGGAATTGTGATTACAAATGTATTCCTTTAACAGTCAAGAATGGGATCATGACTGCAATTTAATATTTAGATGTACCTTTTTGAGAAAAGCTACGTACTTTACTTGAAAGAAATATATAGAATTTTTGCCACAATCATAGCTGATATATTAATTTCTTTTGAATTTTTTAAGACATAGTAGAAGAATATGCTTTTATAAGATCTGTTTTATTTGCCAAATCATTGAAGTTGAATAGCATGGCTAGTCAAATAGTGTGCACCATTTTCATCTTCTATTATCATAAAAACATTGCCTAAAAAAGAAACCACAATATGCTTGCGCCAATTCTGCTATGAGAGCACTGACTGCCAAATATTCTGCTATCTCCATTGTTACTCTTAAAACTGCTATCTGCAATGAAACATTTACAATCACGACACAATTTCTGCCACCCAAGTACGTGAGAAAGCTGTTTTCTTTCACAGCTCCCTGACACTAACTTACAGACCATACCACACCAATTGAATCATTTCAACCATCTTGATACGCCAAACATAAAGACATTACCCCATCAATTGCTTTCTTTTCTTGGTGGTTTTGGCTCTTAGTGCGCAACATGATGCACAATTGAGCAATAGTCTGATATACACCAGTATGTAAAACTGATCTCAAGCACTATTTGGTTTGGCAATTATTCTGGTGTAAGAAACCAATGAGCCAGGCTTTGTCTGTTGCAGTGAAAGTACTATTCTGTGCACGCCTGCAACTTAAGATAGATAACACATTTTTGTGACAATTGTCAATTAAAGATGAAACATTAATGGTATGTTATAGTTCACGAAAGGAATTTTGGCTGTTTTTATAACAACTAATGCCTTGCCCACTGATACTTTGAGTGTAATCTTTTTCACTCAAACTATTGTCTTAGAATTCTAAGTTCATTTTAGCCAGAAAAATCAGCAAATTACAAAAAAAGATCTTTGAGCAAGGGGTTCAAAATTCTTAATTTAGTTGCTGTGAGCTACCCTGAGCATTTAAACTCCTCACTTTAACTACAGGTACCATGCACCAGACACTAGTTATTAAAGTCAGTCTATTTTATGGTCAAACTCGGGGTGTGTGACATGCAGAACACACATGATTTCAACTATAAAATGTTTTTGAATCCAATCGTCATTTCCTGGTTACTTGGTTCAGCCAGTGCCCTCCCTGCTCAAGTATTCACTAATTGGTGCTTGCATAACACCAGTGCAAGCATATGCCTCAGACACCCTGCTGTCAAAATTAGTTATCAATAAACAATCTGTCTGCACTTATGGTAATTACTTCAACTTTTCACACCTCACTTTTCTCAAATATTGTATGCTTTCAAAATGTACTGATTTCAATTTACCTACTGACAGAAAGTCAACAAACTTTTCAATACTTTAGAACCATGTTTTTTAGTTTTATAAACAAAAAACTTTAGGGCAAAATTATCAATACAGGCTGTTCAAACTTTTTAAATAATTACCTTCCTAAAGAGAGAAGGCATAGAAAAAATGAATTATTTTTGTAGTATAACTGGCTGAAAATTAAATACTGCAAGGCAGGACAAGTCTGTAAAGATATTTAGTATTATCCATGTTTTGTTGTTGTGTGTGTGTGTGTGTGTGTGTGTGTGTGTGTGTGTATGTGTGTGTAGGGGTACATTCAATTATGTCTTCTATATCCATTCACTTAAATCAGAGCATTAAAATTTCCATGCATAATTTTCTTTTTAAGTATTCCTGAAAATGTAAAGACAAAACTCAGTCTGAATCTTTTTTGATCTTCTGTAAGGCAGATTTAGTATGGGGGGCTTTTTTAGCATGACAAGCTATTTTCATCATACAGTGCTTGCTAAAACCCTTAGTTTCAACTGAATGAGCAAGGAATCAGGTTTCAGATAAAAAAGTACCAAGTTTAGTATTTATTTCTAAATGTATATCCCACTTGCTTCCACCATTAATTAAAGCAGCAACATCCCAGCTGTCTTCATATTTCACACTATTGTACTGCAAACTAACTTCAAAAGTGGTAAATTTTCTAGGTGAAAAAAGCAAAAACTGTCTTTGATGTAAGTTATCTTTTGTAAGTCTCAATAATTTCCAGACAAATTAAATTGGCTGTTGTTGTTAACTCTCTTGAGGCTAGTGCATTCAAATAGTTATTACTGTATAGTGGTTTCGTCCTCTGATATAACTAATAAATGTCCTGAACAGGGGCTATATGCCAATGACCTAAAATGGCAAAAAATATCATGTGTTCGATAGAGGGATGTAAAAAAACTATTATCAATGTAGTTTCCATTCTTGCAGTAAATCCCTTAAAGGACCTCTTTACTACTAAACCATCATGTATATGCATCCCCACCCCTCACAATGGCCAATCCATATAGTGGTAACACAGTTTATGTAATAGTTCGGTCTTTAAATACTTTTTTTTTGTATCATTTGTGGTAACATTGTATTCTGTAGAAAAACAGCTAGTTTAAATAGCTTGCATGTCAAAATATGCCTTTTAAGGCTCAATCAACTATTTTCTATTAAGTGCAATAATATCTCTCTGAACCTCAAACTTGTTCAATACACTATAATGGGGCCCGCCATAACTATTGAGGACATTCTGCTGCACATGTGCAAAGGAACTACAACACTTGTGCAAACAATCTTTTCAGAACAACATTAACTCCGCAAGGACGTTCTCCTTTGTGATTCACTTTGTTTCCTAATTCTAAATCTATTAGGACATCTCAGGCTTCCGTACTTCAGAAGAAACACTACAGACAAAAAATTAGGATCAACACTTTAGTGGAAGTGGACATTGTATATGATTCATCTGGAAGTGGACTATGTTTTTACATGACCACTTTTCTTAAAACTATAACAAATCAAAGTATTCGAGAAATCAGAAGCATGTTATAAAATCTTTCATCCCATGGAATTAAACATTGCACTGCATGTAAAAGGTGTAGAGACCTGGTTAAATACACAATCCATCCCCCACCCCACACACACTCACAAAGGGAGAAAAAGAAAAAGCAGGATGTTTCAGTAGCCACTAGCATTTCATGAATGTGATGTATTTCCTGGGTAAATAACTTCAGCCCTAGATGTGTCCCCAATCTCAGTTTCTATCCAGACACTGACATAAGTCATGTAAGGCAGTGTTCAGACAGGCTTTGAACTCAAATCATTTCATGTCTCGAATGCATAACCACACATTCTACTTAATTCACCAGGGATCCAGTTAATACATCAGGGTCTTCTGTCACTGAAGAGGGTGTGATGGCGTGTGCCATTGGCTGCCATCTTTGTTTTGCAATATATGCACAGTAGTCCCAGGGTCTTTCACATCAAGCATTATACTTTAGCAAAGCAGTCTGGAACAGTACACCCCAAAAGACAGACAATTTAATAGCCTGGTTATCAGGTAAGATACTCACCTAAACAGAGCAACATAGTCCCCCCTCTCCCTGCACTTAACACGGCCAATTAACACCCACCAAAAGAGTAGAAAGCAAACTGATGCATGGTAACTACATGTAAGGACCAATCACCTCTCAAAGTTTACTGCAACAGACTGTATCACTACAGTTTACCACTCAATGTAAAAATTAAGGGCCTTCTGGCAAATTTACAGTCTAGTTGTGCTTGTTATGTTTACTCTGCACTCTCTATCTTCTTACTGTTGGCCTCACGTGGCTTGGCTTGGACATCTCTGAGGCAGCACAGTATAGTGCATGAACACTGCTTCATCTGGGTTACACTTCAATCAAAGTAAGACAGTACTTATTTACATCTTATGAAATCTGTTTGACCAAAACTTCATCCTACTCTGACATTAATTAAACCAGTGGTTGTAAAACCCATCCCAGAATACCTCTGGCCACTTTGAAAACTGGCAGTGTGATCCAATCTACCGCTGAATTTTGGATCCTTCGGTGCTGTGTCTGATAGTTGGGAAGGCCTGGGGCCCCAACCAAGGTCTTTTAGCATTCTTAGCTAGGCAGGCCCGTAGCCGGGGGTTCGGAGGGTTCGAAAGAACCACCCCTTTTGGTGGGAAAAAGTCCACTCTGGGTAAAATTTGATCTAGGTTCATGAAGTTTTTATTGAAAAAGGTCCACTTTTTCAGAAAAAGAACCCCCCTTTTGAAATTGATGGCTACGGGCCTGCTAGGTCTATAATTTTAGGTCTAAGCTAAGGTCTAAGCTACCAGTAAGCCCATAAACTTAAGTCTTTTAGCAATCTTAACTAGGCCCAAAAACTGTTTTAGCAGTCTAAGCCATGCCCATAAAATAAGGTCTTTTTGCAGTCATAGGCTGTATTCCCAGAGCTTTTAGATCGATCTATCTCTGCGGGGAGTCTCACTAGATTACTGTCAGATAATCCGGCTTAAATGTCCGTCCCGCCTACTACAAGCTGTAAGGGGGTAATTAACTTTCGTGTCCACCTGGCTGACAGCTATTTAGCATGAACCCCCAGGGAGTTAGGTCGATCTAATCTCTGGAAATGGGGTCTTAGAGACCATTCCCAGAGACTTTCGTTCTAGTACTAACTTTGGATAGATCTATCTCCATGGTGATTCTCACTAAACTGCTATCAACTTAAGCAGCTTAAATGTCTGTCACGCCTACTAAAGCTGTAAGGGGGTAATTATCTACTGAAGGTCAAGCATGCACGAAAGTTAATTACCCCCTAGCTGATTGGGTAAGCGTGACAGACATTATAGCTGGTTAATTTGACAGCAATTTAGCGTGAATCTCCATGGAGTTAGACCAATCCTGTTGGATCGATCTAGGCATGGGAACCCAGTCTTAGCTAGGTCCATTATAACTGCAGACAGGCCCCTGTCTGGACACAAGTTTAGGTTAACAGTGGCTGCACTGACCACTACATAAGTCCCTTAGTATATTACCATATGGAGGAAGCTACATATCACCAGCACCACAGGTGACTTAGTGGTCAATTCATTACTGCCATGATGATGGACACAGCCATGATAAGTCTTTACTTTATCAAAACCAGCTGAATTTTTTATTCACAGTAGAGGTTTGGCTTCACATACATCACTGCTATATTTTTTCTTACCTCATTAGAACTTGGTGTAACAAATACTGTGACTGAAATCTTTTTTATTCATTAGCATTTGGCTTTATGAATGTAAGAGATGAATTTCTCTGACAGCTGATTTCAGAAACACAGAAGCAGCAAGAAATAGTAAAAAACCAAGGTCAAAACAATCATCCAGATGTTGGTTGAAATATCAGAACAGCAAACCAAACAAGAATGATACATAATTTTTCCCAAATGAATGGTTGCAAGAAGCTGTGAATAAGATGAGTGAGGTTATTATTGGAGGAGCCATTAATGGTTTCATACAAACACCTCAACAATGAAACAAATTTAAATTCTGATAAAAATTGCTTGTACCAGTTTATTTGCCCCCCCCCCCCCCCCCCAACAACCGTGCCATTCTACTATGGTAACATTACCCAGAAAACCCAACCACTCTCCAAGGCTAACATGTCAAATTATCACCGAGAATGTAACCCCCTCTCTTTTATGTGGATTGAAAACTTCAAATATGAACTCTCCAGGACTTACATGTCAAATCATCACAGAGAATGTAACCCCTCTATTTTACAGGGGTTGAAACCTTCCAATCTTTTTTCCATCATGGTAATCTGTGTGGACAAGAAGCTTCATTACTTATGTGTGGTCTGCACTACTGGGCATGATTGTGTCTGGATTCTGAGGAGGCATAGAAACCACATGAAAGGAGCAGCACTTGCTAAAATCATGAATATTCCAGATTGAGCATGCTAGCCGGTTTTTGTCACATATGATACCGATATCTGTGATTATATATTGTTTAGGCAACATCTCTTAAAACAAAACTGTGTAAATTTTCTTAATTGTATTCTTCTGCATATAAAAGGCCTCAGACCATGTATTTGCCATATAAAGTAACATCATATCATAAAGCTGCCTTGAAATAAAAAAAAAAAAGAAGCATCCACTTGGGATCTTAGTAAAACATTTCTGTCAATTTAATTTTACATGAAAAAAGTTCTCACAGGAAGTGGTCTGAAAGTTTCCTGCTTTAACTCTTGCTTTCAACATGTGCCACCGAAACGTCAGAAGTAATTTTTTTACACACTTAGTGTTTACTGGGAGTCTTAAGAAGCTAACTTAATAGCATGATCCCCATTGCAAAATACAACAGTAAGATGGTTTGACTTGAATAATGGCTGTAAACTTATCCTAAAGTTTAAGTCATTTGACTTCTATACAGTTTTTCTGATGCCTAGCTCAGAGTTTTTGGTCTCATTCTCATCATCAGGAAAAATATTGTGTAGACATCAGATAGTTTAAACTTTATAATAACTTCAAACAACTACAATGATAAAATTGTTGTCAGAAAATCACTGTGCACATCAATAATTTTTTGGGATTTTGTCTCACTTTTATGTGCAGCAAATGCTGTGGGTGAATTCTATTCCCTCCCCTCCTGCCCCCCCCCCCAAAAAAAAAAAAAAGTTCACAACAAAACAAACTAAAACTTAGACTCAGATGACCAAATAACAAAAAAACCTTCATTGTGCCTGAGATTTTTGGTCTAATGTAATCCAATTATAAACAAGACTTATGTCCAGAGAGACTTAAGAAACTGAAGCTGTGATATTCTATCACAGGCTGTAGTATTACCTCTACAATGATCATAACTTTTAGCCACATGAAGCCAATCTAGCCATGCAAGAATTTTTAAAATGGGTGTTAAGTGGGACAGCACAGGGATTGGAGTGGCTTCCTATGATAAGAAATTGTAACCATACTAGCTAATACATATTAAGTGAAGTCATCAAAAACTGACTGAAAGTGTGGAAGACCCGAGTTATAAAAGATAATAAGTATATGGTATTTTTTATCCTTGAGGGAAGTACAACAAAATTATAAGAATGTTGAATGTTTAATATGTTGTATCAACCTCAGAAAATCAAAGCAGCCATGACATTTGTTTTAAGTTAAAATTTCCCAAGTTTTTTTTTTCACATAACTCCTACCTACAATCCTCGCTTTGTTGACATCATCATCAATTTCAACTAGGCATTGTTACAAAAAAATCAGTCTGCTTCAATTACCGACCAAATTTAATTGTTCTAAAACAAGTGATATATCTTGCATATGTACTAGTCAATCAAATATAGAATTATTATAACATATCCAATATTCTTTGCAATTGAAACATCAAATAAAAAACATTTATGAATTCCAAACAATCAGTGCAAACAGTTTTACTAAATCATGACTGAAAATTCCGTAAACCATAAAAAGACAGAAATGCCAAACATTTTCCGTCCAATTTTAAGATTTTTATCTAAAGTATGTAGGCTCCCCTTCCCCACCAAGATAGTCCACTACATAATTCCCCTTGGCCTAAATGATAGACACTTGCATCATTAAAATCAATAAACTAACACAGTTATTCAGCGGATCATACAGATTCTATTTACTGTTAATTAGCTGAAGCATTACACATGATGCATTTACACGCCATAACACTTGTAATCCCCCCTTGGCTGATAACCAGCTTGAAAGACAGCTCAGTTTGGAAGATGACAGCTTAATTTGCAAGAGAGACAGTACATCTTCACTTATTATCTATGATCTGTTCCATAAGGTTCAGAGGATCCCTTGTCTATCGTGAAAACTGTGTTTGAATTATTTAAAGTGATTCTGACAATCTGAGAGAGAGAGAGAGAGAGATTTAAAAGTATGGGATTGCAATTGAATTCTCTTTTTTTCCTTTTTCTGGGAATGAATGTGGAAAAGCTTCTTGTAACAGTCTGAGAGGTTAGTTACAAATTTGATGGAAACTGACAGGAGCAAAGAAAGCCAGCTGTGTTGGACTAGTTAGTCAAAACAATTCTCCAGGGATACACGGCACAGCAGGAACAAGTGGTTGAACCCAACAGCCATTGGCTGTGCTGGCCTCGCCACAGGAAGTGTGTTGTTTCCAGGGAGGGTTATTAGGCATTTTGATGAGAAATCTTTGAGGAGTTCGACTTTTCAAGGACCCAATGCAGCAATCAAATTAATTCAATTTGCACTTTTGACTCACTTTGTCACTTTGCAGCAGCATGGGGATCTCCCTACTGGCAAGTGTGCTTCTTTTAAGGAGCAGAGATAGGAATCTTGATGGGAAGAACTTTTCTACTGACTTTTTAGAAATATTATGACAAAACAAATAAATAAATTGTATGAAACCATCATGTCTCAAAAATGATTAACAATTGCAACCTAAAAACATTCTATTCATAGGAAGTGTGTTTGAATCCAGAAGCAATGAGAAGGAAAAGAAATTGAACTGGGAAATGTGGAAAACACTTCTGTGGAGAAATTCACTGAAACAGCTGGGTAATCTTGCCACTGCTAAGGGCTAATAAACTTACATGAATAAAAACTTACAGGAGCTGGTCTTGTATTATTTATAAACAGAAGCTTCCCCAATGTTCTACCTGATCCTGTTTGCAACATATCTCACGAGCTTAAGTTTTTATCTCTCCTGGTAAAGCATGAAGTGTAAAGAATGTAACTGTTTAACCAAGCATCCATTTGAAATGCTTGCAGTCTGTTTTACATCTGCCATCAGTTACAGTTCGTCACTGGCAGAACTCACAACTGACTGGCTGCCCGGGTCCATCATAACGGGCTCCATCATAACCGGTTGTGCAGTGAAGACAGTTCTAGAGTTGGGATTTCAAAGGTCCTCTGATACCTTTTAAATTGCCAAGTGCAAAAACACATGTCAGATGAACTGAACTTTACAAAAGCAGTGACAGACATGAGCCTCTGTAAAAAAACAAGTTCAAAAGTTGTACAACTTGCAAAGTGATGGGTTGTGTACTACAAAGGAGTGAAGTTTGATATATTTCTGAGTAAAGTACCCCATAGAAGCATAAGCTAACATATAGGCTAATACTTTCTGATGAAGTTTTATAAACACACACAATAATGAATGCTCACAAAAGAGGTTGCATCCTTCATTCATGATTAAAAATAGAATTGCCCAACATTATTTTCATATAATGAGTGCTAAATAATAGACTTGAACACTTTCAACAGGGATTGATATCAACAACTTAAAAGATCATTGAAAAAAATTAAAAAAAGAAAAACCTTAGAAATTAAATTAAATAATTTAAATCAAAACTTACCAGGATCATGAAATGGAACCAGAACATAGTTGTACAGAGGCTTCTCTCTTCTTGCTTTCGTTGTAGCCAGAATCTTTGCTGCTCCCTCTATCACTTGAACTAAATCATCGTACATGGAACCCGTAATGTCAAAGACGAAGGCCAATGAGGCTGCACCCTGGGGTATGTCCTCTTCCCTAAGAGCTAGCGGTTGTCCCTGCACATTTACAGTCAGGCTAAAACTGAGCAAAATTGTGATGAAAAGTTTAGCATTATTTATTCTTAGGAACCTCATCTCTGCCCAAGGCTCCATAGTTTCTTGAATCTGCTTCAGCAGTCTGGCCTTAAAATCACAAACTTTCTCCTCCTTATGTGTTCACCTCTTGCATCAAATGCAGAAAATTTGAACCAAATGTAAGAAAAATTTTCCTCAACAAACACACACTCTGAAATCTGCAGTAATCTTTAAATCCTAACTTGAAGTTAAAGTAGTTTCAGCTCCTTCATTGTGGTGTAAAACTACTTTACAAGATTTCCTGGCAAGGAGTTTCATACAAAGTTTGCCAAAAAACGTTTTGGAAAAGAGATTTAAATATCTGCAAACTCAGCTCTACCAGCGTGCATGTAACCAGACTGTCAGAGCTGGTGTAAGGCTAGCTCCAGTGAGCCAGAGTGTCAGGAGAGACTGAGCACAATATTTTACTGCACTCTGGGACAGGGATTAGGTTACAGGGCTCAACAAATGGCCACTCACACTCTTTCTGTTAATCTGGGACTTGCCCATTTCCACAAAAAAGAGGGGTGAAGGGTGAGTTTCAGAATGTCCATATCCATTCATACTGCTTGTAACATTCTTTTAAGATGTCACACCGCCTGATGAAATTTGCAAAATAATTTATTAAATGCAAAACAGACTTGATTTATTAGCAGACACTTTAACAAAAAGATACGAATCATTTTTTAAATACAAACAAACAAACAAAAACAGTTCTTTGTTTAAGTTTTGTACATTTTTGTACTTGCTTCCTAAGTCGATCCATTTGACTTCAAGGGGTGGTAGCTGGCTATGCAGGAAGCCATTAGACACAAACTGTGTTTCATTTATTTCTTTAATGTGCTTTGCAGCATAAGAGAAGCCTTTGAAAATGCCTACAGTGTGCCACAAAATGGGCTTTGAAGGTGTTTTCTGGCTAGGAGCGTGAAGGAAAAAAAACCTGATGCTATCCACGGAGTCTGCCTCAGAACGGGACAAAGAGTTTTGTGAACATTCGCACCACTTGGATTGCTCAGGTACCCATCTCTGAGCATGAAAACATTTCCGATAAAGAAATAAAATATGTCATACATTTCCTACTGAGGCTGCCAAAGACATGTGAGGAAAAGGATACATATATCACTGTTATTTTTATTTACTTTTTAGTAGTAGTACATTGTAGTTAAAACTACTATGTTCTCAATGGGTGGTGCAAATGCTTTTCAGACATAATTTTATCTATGATTATATTTTTATTTCACTAATCTATAATTTCTGCTATAAAATAAAGAAAAACTTTGCAACTGATCTGCATTACAGGAAGAGGTTTGCAGGCTGGCAGACAGACGTACTGGCCTCTCGAGTGCACAGTAGCAAGAACATTTCAAGCTTTGCAACAGAGTTTACTAAGGTCATGTTTAAAAGTTTTTATCTTAACACCATCAAGCCGAAACCCCTGATAATGTTTTCATTCAAAAGCAACACCCAGAATGAACTTTGTCGCTGTTGACGTAAGCCACTGTAAGATTATCTGAGTACTGAAATACTAGACAATAGCAAATGGAGATTATTAATAGGCACTTGAAAATAACTGAGGAAGATCTTTGATAAAAGGACTGATATAAACCGGTACTATTTTTACTCATTGCTGCACTTTGCTTCAGTAATAAAAAGCTACAGTTATAAAGGTAATAGTTTTGTCATTTTCTTTTGTCTTTTTCTCAATGAGTTATACATAACTGACAAAATTTTCAAACAAAATGACATCCCTGTGACGTCTGACACCTGGAGAGGATACAGGACCAAAAACTTTTCTCATGGTCCCAAAATAGATGACATGCGGTGGAGTGTTTTTTTTTTTTAAGGGGGGGGGGAGGAGAGGGGTTAAACCCTTAGCTTCTTGGATTTCCCTACATCCACAATCACATACCAAATATAAACTCAGCTGCCTTCTATCCTTCCCTTCATGGAATGGTAATTTCAATGCCATCTGATTGGTATTTTGTAGATTGTGATATGCACTGCCTTTGACAACAACTGTCCACTTTAAGTAATGAAGGGCCACACTGGTTCAGCAGTTCTTTAAAAATACATACAGTCATTTTGGTCAGCTGCCCCATCCAAATTTTCTCTTGGATCAGTGGTTCTCAATTGATCAAATTATCTTATATTGCTAAGGTAGAAACACATGCTCATGTACATGTGCTGGAACTGATGGCAATCTTTTAAAGCATTTTTAATCTTTTCGCTTATTTGTGCAAACATAGTTATAAATTTCATAGTTAGCATATCACTTTACCAAATAGACAAATATAATTGTGATAAAGTAATCATTATATGGATCACAAACTATTCGCATTTTAAATCAAAATCTGAAAGCTTGACACAATGTCGTCACCAGAACAGCCAAGATTTCGTAGAAGAAAATAATAATCTTTCCTTTTAACAATTTTCTTTGATCCAAATCATAGATTGTGCACACATAAACCAATTTGTTTCTTTAAAAAATATTATGTTATAACAAGAACAATTGGATTTTATTTTCATTTCATGTTTATTGCTAAAATGAAAACCAAAATAAAACAAATATTTCAATTAAAAGTTCTTTACACTCAGGGAATATAAAAATTACTCAATAAATTCAAAACAACCAGAAAGAATAATTTCTTTACAATATAATTTCTTTGTAATATTATATCTAAAATGTTAATTCACAAAGTTTGAGTCAAAGCTGATTTACTGTCAGAAAGTGCATTGTCATGACAGAAAATGACAAATCTTAAAAAAGTAAGATATTACAAAAAGTGATCCCTTCTCACACCTAAGGAATTACTGTATTAGGTTACCCCCCCCCCCCCCACCCCAGACACCACCTTAAAGAGATTATCATATTTGTAAAGTACCCCAAATCAGTGTCACATTCCCCAGATGTAGCACAGGAAGTGCAAAGCTCTCCATGCTTTTCACGTGCAAAAGAGATTTGATAAAAAAGGGAAGTTATTTCTATTCAGCACTTGAAGGTTTTTCTCATTCATACTTTACTACAGTTGTCAGGTTACACAAACCAGGGCCACAGATTAAAAATGCACCCCATGAACTTAATGTTCAAAGGTGCTCAGGAAATAAGTTTTTAGAACTTTATACCAAGTGATTAATCAAAACTGACTTGACTGAAATATCATTTGTATTTTAACTATTTATAGCAGTCAATACATTGAAATATTGATCAATTTTGAATGTGACTTCAGATAGTTTTTTCAAGTTTCAATACGTTTTCTAAATTTTGGAGTTTAAATAAAATCCATAAATATCTTTAATCCAATTCTGGCATTCATCAATTGGTTTACAATAACATGTCAAAATCACAAGATGGTACAAATTCTTGAATCAAAGCATTTTTCTGAAATTAAAAACTTTGTCAATAGTCCCCTTTTCTTACTTCCTCTTTCAAAAGACCAAATTATTGGAGTTGAAACTGGTCACATCTGGCCAATCTGGCACAGATCAGACCTCAAGTTTTAAATATTTTCCAAATGATTTCTTAATTACAGCAAATAACCCCCCCCCCCCCCCCCAACCACCTTCTTACAAAGAACCAGATCTCTGTTAAAGACAGTAATGGCCACATCTGGCCAAGATGGCACAGAAAAGATCTCAAATTTCAAGTGTTTTTCTCCAATTTCTTGTTTGCCAAGCTCCTCCTGTGTCTGTATAGTCTTCTCAGGACAGGTTCATTCACTGGTATCTGTGTATGGCCAGGGTGGTATTTCCACCCATTCACACAGAGCACTCTTGATTGCACTTCTTCTGGGAGAATGATCTGGCGCGTTTGCACAATGAAAGATACACCAATTGCATTACAACAAGCTCAGTCAATAAGCAAACTTACTGGTCAAACTGTTTGAGATTTAATGACTCCCAGTCAGACAGAGTTGACTGTCTGGTCTGAATATGGAACATGAAATACTAGTAGTGCAATTATTATTCATATGTAAACAAAAATTTTGCTCTTCAGCTTTCTTGACTTACTATGAAATATGCCTCAGATGTGTGCTTATCATATATTTATCAGAGATAAAGATTCCTGAGGGAATAGGGGTCAGGGAAGGGCTGAAATTTCACACATTTGATAGGCCTTATCATTTTCATGTACTTGATGTTAGACTTAATTTGTTTTTATCTATTCATTTAAATGGAACCAGCACCTAAGATTTGAACAGTGAAAGAAATAGTTATTCAACAAAAAAAAAAAAAAAAAAAAAAAAAAAAATCATCAGTTAGAAAAGTAAAAGAGCATCAGTCCAGCCAAAACTTTTGCCTGATACCACACACTCTCTCCAATTGTGAAGCTCAAAAATAGGTTCAAGAGGTTTGAACAATTTGGCAGTTTCTATTTTCAACCTTTGTGATAATACACACCATTAAGGCTACGTGTTGAGGCTTTTTAGAACTATAATTAACTATCAAAGTGTTCTGAAAAGTCTGGACACTTTTTTCTCCTTCCCAGAGTATTCTGACATTCCCAGACCCATTATAAAGAAAGGTCAGGGGGGGCTTAAAAGGTTTCCTACTTGAACACACATTCACCTCATATCAGGGGATGTCATGGAGATCACTCAACTGAAGAGGACAGATTACACAGCCTTATATTCATAGAGTTTCATGTGAGTAAATCAAGTGGAGGTTGCGGGGGGGGGGGGGGAAGGTGGCTTGAGTTACAAATCTTGAAGATCTATAGAAAAGGGTTTGCTATAAGGGC